ATATTTTTGGTAAACGGACCCGGACCCGTGATTTGACGGTCCCGAAGGGTTCGTAGAAAAATATGAGACTCGGGCATATGCCCGGAGTCGAATTTCGAGGTCGAGAGCCCGAGAAATGAATTTTTCTGTGAAATTGTTTTTCTGAAATTATTAAGGAAAATGGAAATGAAATTTGATTAAAAGACTATGGTATCGCGCTCGTATTTTGGTTCCGACGCCCGGTACAAGTCTTAAATATGAGTTAAGCGCTTTCTGTAAAGTTTGGTCGAAATCGGACGTCATTTGACGTGTTTCGGACCTAAATATCTCAAATTTGAAGTTATGAACTTGAAATGAAAAATGATGATTTTGAGGTTTGATTCATTGATTTTGATGTTATTTTGGCGATTTGATCGCTCGAATAAGTTCGTAGGATGTTATTGAGCTAGTGTGTGTGTTTGGTTGGGAGCCCCGAGGGCTCGGGAGTGATTCGGAGGTTGTTCGGGGTAGTTTTACACTTAGAAAGCACATCAAATTTTTTCATGTTATTGCAGACCAGATTTTGTTCTTCGCGAACGCAGCCCCCCCTTCGTGTTCGCATAGCTCTGACATTTCTCCTTCCGCGTTCGCGTCCCTCCATCGCGTTCGCATAGCTTTATACCCCTCTTCAACGCGTTCGCATACCTCCCCTCGCGAACGCGTAGGCCAAACCTGGACCCCCCCCCCCCCAGTTTCCTTATATGCGTTCGCATAGCACCATCGCGAACGCATAGAACATCAAACCAGCCCTCCTTCGCGAACGCGAGTCTGAGTCGCGAACGCATAGAACAAAAAGGCTTCAGTGATTTTTTTTTAAAACAGAACATTTCATTTTGGGAATTCTTCACTTCTTCTCACGAGCTCTCTTCTCCATCAAGCCATAGGACTCCATTGAAGCTCCCCTCTTCCAAGACTTTTTGGGTAAGTAATTCCCCACCTAATTCCTTCATTTTTCTTCACTAATTAGTGAATTCCTAGGCCTAAAAACATGAAATCAAAGTGAAAATTAGGGCTTTTGGGTAGAGTTAGGCTTATGGAAATTTTGGGTGATTCAACCCCAATTTAGGGTCGAATCTTAAAATAAATTATATATTTGAACTCGTGGGGTTATGGGTGATTGGGTTTTGGTCCGAGCCTCGTGTTTGGACCATGTGGGCCCGGTGTCTAAATTTGGAATTTTTGGAAGAATGTTACGAAACTCATTTCTAGGCTATGGGATTATGTTGTTGGGCCCTAATTGATATTATTGAATTAATTATGCCTAGATATCATTGTTTCAGAGTCGGATTGTAGAGGAAAGGCGGAATTTGAGGATTGATTGCTATTCTTTGGACCGAGGTAAGTGTTTGATCTAACTTTGGCTTGAGGGAATAGAATTAGAGTATTATTTGCTAATTGCTAAATGTTGAGTACGGTGTATAGGCATGGTGACGAGTATCTATACACCGGTGTCTAGCATGACCGTGAGTCCTTACTTGTGCTTACGTGGGATTCCGTGGTGACTCTTCCTTGTTTAATTGATGGATGCGATATAATGTGAACAATATGAAGAGAAAATATGATTTGTAAACTCCTTGGAGCGTTGGCTCGAATTATGACATGATTAGGACGTAAGAAATGAACGAAAGAGGAAGAGATGTAATTACTCCCTTGCCAGGACGAGTAAGTGATTGTTGTTCCTCCCTTGCCGGGAATTAACTGTTTATTTGTATTCTCCCTTGTCGGGATGGTTGAATTGATACTTGTTTCCCTTGCCGGGAAGTCATTATATATATATTATGAAATGGGATCGTGTGGCACGCCGACCACTTATATATTATGAAATGGGATCGTGTGGCACGCCGACCACTTATATATTATGAAATGGGATCGTGTGGCACGCCGACCACTTATATATCAAGAAATGGGATCGTGTGGCACGCCGACCACGTATTCTGTGTTAGAAGAGATTTGGTTGTAGTTTTCCTTATTTGTTCCTACCGTTCAATTTTATATGTTATTCCCAAAAGTATGCTCCCCTCCCAGTCTTAATTATTACTTTCCGCTGTTATTTTTTTTTTGTAGTACTTGTATATAAATATCTGCACAGGTTGACTTGGTAGTCCTGTCTAGCCTCGTCGCTACTTCGCCGAGGTTAGGCCAGGCACTTACCAGCACATGGGGTCGGTTGTGCTGATGCTACACTTCTGTGCTTTTTGCACAGATTACGGTACCGGAGCAACTCTTGGACCACAGCAGTAGTTGATCGGGGGCCCTCTTCAGTCCAGGGACTTACGAGGTAGCCTAGCTGGCGTTCGCAGGCCGAAGTCCCTTTCCATATTTTCTGTTTATTTTCATTGTACCGAGACAAACATTATGTATTTTTCTATTCTGACTTGTTTGTAGCACTCTTTAGTAGTTCGTGAGATAGCGACTCCAGTCTTGGGTTGTGAAATATTAGACTTCCGCATTTTGGGTTTTCAGTTATTTATGTTTTAAAAGACTTCCGCATTTATTTAAGGGAAAATTTCACATTAGAACAACTAGGCTCCATACTTTTCAATTTTATAGCCCATATTTCAATTTACAACCAACTAGCCCATAAATAATAGGCTAAGATTCAACATCCAACTCCAATAGGTTCTCAAAATTACTATTTAATTTTTAAAAAAGATTCCTCAAGCTTTTAAATTACTTTTCAAATCACTAATTGTGACTCAAATATTAATTCAACAAACCAACTTCATTTGGGTGGTGAAAATTAGATTTTTAACAAGCTTAAATATGTGGGTTTAAATTTTGAATTTGATTTTATGAAAAATTTGGAGTGGGTGTTATTTAGACTTGTTAGAAATAGTATAAGGAGGTTGTATATAAAATTTGAAGTCATTTAATGGAGATTTGGACTGGTTTTGAATAAAAATTGCAACTGAAAATCGTGGAAGAAGTTCGTCTACAGACGCTTGTATAAAGGTGTATAAAAGTGTATAACAATGTATAAGGTGTGTTTCTACACTCATATACAATATTATACAGGATTATACATAATTATACAAAAAACTGACTTCGTCTTCTTTCTTGCGTCTTTTCTGAAATTTAATTCAAATCTTGCTCAAATCTACTCCAAATCACTTCAAATTTAAATTTTGTACTCCTTTTGATATTTTCAATCAATTGGAACAATACCCAATCCAAACAACTAACAAATTCAAAACAACCCATTTTCAAAAGCAAAGCTTTGAATGATCTTCAATGGTGGACTTCTACTCTTTAATTTTCTTTCATTGCAAGCAGGTGACACAAGAGGAAAAGCAGAAAATACACGGTCCTTTGAAGCATATGTAAAAGATGTGAGAAGAAGAGAGAGTGAAAGCAATATTTGTGAGAACAAAGAATTAACTCCATAGCTTTTAGAAGCAATTGTTGTAAAAACATATATTTTGAATTTGCAAGTGCTTTCAAAATATGTACAATGTGGGCTAGGTGGGGTAAAACTTAAAAACATGGGCCATTTTTTGTTATGGTGTGAAGTCATGTGTATTTTCTTGTAATTCTTTCTTTATTTAAAGGCTCGGTATTTTATTATTATTATGTTGTTATCCGAAAATATTTAAATGTTTGGCTTGCCTAGCTCCAACAGTAGGCGCCATCACGACTCCCGATGGTGGGAAATCCGGGTCGTGACACAAATATACCAACAAGTTCTAAAACATGATACAAACTCCGCCGAGCCTTCAAATCACATCGAACAATGCTAAAACCACGAATCGCGCATCGATTCAAGCCTAATGAACTTTTGAACTTCTAACTTCTACATTCAATGCCAAAACCTATCAAATCACGTCCGATTGACCCCAAATTTTGCACACAAGTCAAAAATAATACAACAGACATACTCCAACTCCCGAAACCCGAATCGGAGCCCGGTAACCACAAAGTCAACTCTCGGTCAAACTTCTAAATTCCAACTTTTGCCATTACAAGCCTAATTCAACTACGGGCCTCCAAATCACTATACGGGCACACTCCTAAGTCCAAAATCACCCAACGGAGCTATCAGAAATATTAAAACTCCATTACAAAGTTGTTTACACATAAGTCAACATCCGATCAACCTTTTTAACTTCAGCTTTCAACCTTGAGACTAAGTGTCTCAACTCATTCCGAAATCTCCCCGGAACCGAACCAATTACCATGGCAAGTCACATAGCAACTAATAAGCATAAAATGGGCAGTAAATGGGAGAACAGGGCGACAACACTCAAAACCACCGGCCGGGTCGTTACATCCTCCCCCTCCTAAACAAACGTTTGTCCTCGAATGGGTCTAGAAACATACGTGGAGTCTGAAATAGGAGTGGATATCTACTCGGCATCTCTTACTCGATCTCCCAAATAGCCTCCTCAACTGGCTAACCTCTCCACTGCACCTTCACTGAAGCTATGTCCTTTGACCTCAACTTTCGAACCTGCCGACTTAAAATGGCCATCGGCTCCACATCATTAGTCAAATCACCATCCAACTGAACCGTGCTGAAATCCAAAATATGAGATGGATCGCCGACATACTTTCGGAGCATAGAAACATGAAATAATGGATGCACACTCGAAAAAAATAGGTGGCAAGGCAAGCTTGTAAGCCACCTCTCCCATCATCTGAAGCACCTCAAACGGCCTAATATAATTATTCTTTTTGCTACGTAAATTGATGAATTTGACTCAGGAGAGCTATGCATTCTATCCTTTTTGGTACAATGCAAAATAGAAGAGAGATATTTTAACGCTCAGATGCCATGAAGTTTAGTTACTCCTCAATCATTAATTGTTTAATATTATGACAAAGTAATGTTTGTCTCTTTTATTATTCGAGGAGATAGGGAGGTCATTTGTGGTTTCAATATTGAGGCTATATTCTAACTTAATCAATGGAGTTAAGTCACATGTGAAACATTATGTTAGAACTCTTAAACTTCCTTAAAGCGTAACAAACATTTTATTTCATTCTTGAAACATTACATAGAGAATTAAAGAATCAAATGAATACAAAATACATGTAATAGGCTTTTGAATGATCAATTTAGGGAGCCGCAGACAGTTCTTATGATCCCATTTTGACCAGTTAGGGGACTAATATCTCCCATTCTAATCATAGCAGCAGCAAAATCAGAGGCAAATGCGCGAGGACTGTTACTATATTCAGAAACAATATCATCAGTAGATCCACCACTAAGAAGGACTTGATCTGATTGAAGAAGACCTTTTCTTTGCCTCAAGTTCTTGAAATAATTGTTATCCAATTGATTAGGTGTAACCAAATCAAGTGGAGCTAGGTTTCCATTTTGGTCTTCTTTAGGACATTGACGTCTTCTTGTGCTAGCAAATCCAGCATCAATGTCTGTTCCATTGCCATAAATCCTATCGCGAAAAAGGAAACATTGTGCTTGGCCTATTGAATGTGCTCCTACAATTAGAAAGTTTAAATCTTTAGAACTTCTTCTTAATTATCTGTACAAGTATATGATAAATATTTTATATATGTTCAATATATAATAACTTGATCAACTTTTACCTGATAAAGCAACCATATCCATTGTGCTAAGGCCTTTGCTCGCAAAACTAGAAATAAGCCTATTAAGAGGATCAAATGGACCAGGAAGATCAGTTTCTGCAAGTGTATGACTTGCAGTTGTTGAATCTCTTCTTCCGAGTTTCACTGCCCATGATGGACCTCCAACCTAATTGTAATTTATTAACATAATGTATTGGTTAGTTTGATATACAGTCAGACTTCTTTATAACAATATCCATATATAACAACCATTCACTATAAAACTCAAGTTTTCTCTACAACACCCAAAAAATTTTAGAAAATGAAGAAAATGGGGTCGGTTGTGCTGATACTACACTCTGTGCTCTTTTGCACAGATCCAGGTACCGGTCAGCAGCAGTAGCTCGGGAGCCAGCCTACAGTCCACCGAGGCTCCGAGGTAGCCTTGCACGCGTCCGCAGGCCCGGCGTCTCCTCTATCTTATATTTCATTATGTTATCTCATGTTTTTGAGACAAACAGTGTTATATTTCTTTCAAACGATTGTATTTAGTACTCTTAGTAGTCCGTGGATGTTGTGACACCAGTTCTTGGGTAGACACATGTTGATTTCCGCATTTTGTTCAGTGTATATAACTTATGTCTTCCACTTTAATTTCATATTCCGCTGTTATTTAAATATTTATCGCTTGTTGTTATGAATGATAAAAAGGTTATAAAATAAAGGAATTAGGAGTTTTTGATTTGTGGCTCGCCTACCTTCTACGAGTAGGCGCCATCACGACCCCCGAGGGTGGGAAATTCGGGTCGTGACAAGTTGGTATCAGAGTTTTAGGTTACATAGGTCTCACAATTTACGAACAAGCTCAGTAGAGTCTGAGGGATCGGTACAGAGACGTTTGTATTTATCCCCCAGAGGCTATGGAGTTAGGAAAACTTCACACTTGTTCTTTCCTGTCGTGCGGTTTTGTTTCTCAAATGCTAATTGAATTCCTACTCTGTTCTTTCGCAGATGGCGAGAACACGCGCTTCCTCATCTATCGATCAGCATTCAGAGCCCCTAGCAGCTCCCACGAGGGGCAGAGGGCGAGGCCGAAGCCGTGCAAGAGGCCGAGGCAGGGGCGAAGCTCAGCCCCGAGCAGCAGCACTAGTGGCGGAGCCTTAGGTTGATTTTGACGAGGAGGTTCCGACCCCAGCAGTTCCGGTAGGCCCAGCTCAGGTCCCAGAGGGGTTTATTGCTACCCCAGTTCTTCAGGACGCTCTGGTCCGATTGGTGGGCCTCATGGAGAGTGTCACCCGTGCAGGCTTGCTTCTTGTAGCACCAGCCACTTCTCAGGCTGGAGGAGGAACCCAGACTCCTGCTACTCGTACTCCGGAGCAGGTAGCTCCCCAGACTCAAACTCCAGCAGTTCAGCAAGTCGGAGCAGCTCAGCCGGGTGTGGTAGCCCAGGCCGGTGATGGAGCATCTATGTCTGCCGATGCTTTTTGGAGATTGGACAGGTTCACCAAGCTCTTCACTACTACTTTCAGCGGTGTATCTACTAAGGATCCCCAGGATTATCTGGACAGCTGCCACGAGGTTCTTCGGAACATGGGTATTGTTGAGACCAATGGGGTTGATTTCGCTACATTTCACTTGTCTGGATCCGCCAAGACTTGGTGGAGGGATTATTGCTTAGCTAGACCAGCAGGGTCGCCAGCCTTGACCTGGGAGCAGTTCACACAGCTATTTCCGGAGAAGTTTCTCCCTATTACTCAGCGAGAGGCCTATCGGAGGCAGTTCGAGCGCCTTCAGCAGGGATCCATGATAGTCACTCAGTACGAGACTAGGTTCATTGATTTTGCTCACCATGCTCTTATTATACTTCCCACTGAGAGGGAGAGAGTGAGACGGTTTATTGATGGACTCATCCAGCCGATTCGTCTCCAGATGGCCAGCGCGGCTGGGAGTGAAATATCCTTCCAGGAGGCGGCCAATGTGGCCCAGAGGGTTGAGATGGTATTATCACAGGGGGGTGGTCATAGGGCAGACAAGAGACCCCGTCAGTCAGGCATATTCAGTGGTGCCTCGTCTGGAGGCAGAGATTCGTACGATAGAGGTCATTCCTCTAGGCCCTTCCAATCAGCACTCCAGGTTTCTCATGGTGCCCCAGGTGGCCGTGGTTCTCGCGGGCAGTATTCTGATCAGCAGACCTACAGTGCACCACCAGCTCCTATCAGTGCACCACCGCTCCAGAGCTTTCGGGGTGGTCATTCAGGCCGCTAGGGTCAGTCTCAATTTCCTCAGCCGCAGCATTCAGGTGGATGCTATGAGTGTGGTGAGTATGGTCATATCCGGAGGGCTTGTCCGAGGTTGGTGGGTACTCAGTCGCAGCAGCAGGGTCCCCGTCCTATGGTTCAGGCACCAGATGTTCCACAGGCCGTCCAGCCAGCTGGAGGCGGGGGCAGAGGTGCTAGAGGGGGAGGTAGAGGATTTAGAGGTGGAGCTCAGACCGCCAGAAGTGGAGGCCAGCCAGCAGCAGGCCATCCCAGAGAGGTAGATCAGAGTGGTGGGGCCCAGCCCCGATGTTATGCTCTTCAGGTCAGGCTCGAGGTTGAGGCTTCAGATGCAGTTATTATAGGTACGGTTCTGGTTTGTGATAGAGATGCTTCAGTGTTATTTGATCCGGGGTCTACGTATCCGTATGTATCATCTTATTTTGCCTCGTACCTGGTCATGCCTAGTGATTCATTGAGTATTCCTGTTTATGTGTCTACACCGGTGGGTGATTCTATTGTGGTCGATCGAGTCCATCGTTCTTGTATTATGGCGATTGGGGGTCTTGAGACTCGTGTAGATTTATTGCTTCTAGACATGGTTGGCTTCGATATTATATTGGGGATGGACTGGTTATCACCTTACCACGCTATCTTGGACTGTCATGCCAAGACTGTGACCTTAGCTTTACCGGGTATGCCTCGTTTAGAGGTGGAGAGGGACTTTTGGTCATTCTACCCGCAGTGTTATCTCGTATGTGAAGGCTCGGCATATGGTCGAGAAGGGGTGTTTGGTCTATTTGGCATATGTTCGTGATTCTAGTGCTGAGGTCCCTTCTATTGATTCTGTGCCCGTTGTTCGTGAGTTTCCTGATGTCTTCCCTTCAGATCTGCCGGGTATGCCACCCGAAAGGGATATTGATTTCTGCATTGATTTGGCTCTGGGCACTCAGCCCATTTCTATTTCGCCGTATCGCATGGCCCCGCCTGAGTTGAAAGAGTTAAAGGAGCAGTTGCAGGATTTGCTTGAGAAGGGTTTCATTAGACCCAGTGTTTTACCTTGGGGTGCGCCGGTGTTGTTTGTTAAAAAGAAGGATGGGTCAATGAGAATGTGTATTGATTACCGACAACTGAACAAGGTTACAGTCAAGAATAAGTATCCGCTGCCGAGGATTGATGATTTGTTCGACCAGCTTCAAGGTGCCAGGGTATTTTCAAAGATTGACTTGCGATCTGGCTACCACCAGTTGAGGATTAGGGCATCCGATGTCCCTAAGACAGCTTTCCGCACTCGGTACGGGCATTATGAGTTCTTGGTCATGTCATTCGGGTTGACAAATGCCCCAGCAGCTTTTATGGATCTGATGAACCGAGTGTTCAAGCCTTACTTGGATTCATTCGTGATAGTCTTCATTGATGATATTTTGATATATTCTCGCAGCCAGGAGGAACACGAGCAGCACCTTAGAGTGGTTCTTCAGACTCTGAGGGATAGTTAGTTGTATGCTAAGTTCTCGAAGTGTGAGTTCTGGTTGAGTTCATTTGCATTTCTAGGTCATGTTGTATCAGCCGAGGGTATTCAGGTTGATCCGAAGAAGATTGAGGCAGTCAAGGACTGGCCTAGACCAGCATCAGCTACAGAGATTCGGAGTTTCTTGGGATTGGCAGGCTACTATCGTCGGTTCGTGGAGGGGTTTTCATCTATTGCAGCCCCGATGACCAGATTGACCCAGAAGGGTGCCCAGTTTAGATGGTCGGATGAGTGTGAGGCGAGCTTTCTGAAGCTCAAGACAGCTCTGACTACGGCACCAGTGTTGGTTTTGCCCACAGGTTCCGGGCCTTATACAGTTTATTGTGATGCATCTCGTATTGGACTTGGTGCAGTGTTGATGCAGGATGGCAAGGCCATTGCCTATGCTTCGCGCAATTGAAGATTCATGAGAAGAACTATCAAGTTCATGATTTGGAGTTGGCAGCCATTGTTCACGCATTGAAGATTTGGAGGCATTACTTGTATGGCGTGGCATGTGAGGTGTTCACGGATCACAAGAGTCTTCAGTATTTGTTCAAGCAAAAGGAGTTGAATTTGAGGCAGAGGAGGTGGTTGGAGTTGTTGAAGGATTATGATATCACTATCTTATATCATCCGAGAAAGGCCAATTGGGTGGCCGATGCCTTGAGTAGGAAGTCAGTCAGTATGGGCAGTCTTGCTTATATTCCGGTCGGTGAGAGACCGCTTGCTTTGGATGTTCAGGCTTTGGCCAATCAATTCGTGAGGTTGGATATTTCTGAGCCCAGCTGCGTGCTAGCTTGAACAGTTGCTCGTTCTTCATTACTGGAGCGTATCCGAGATCGGCAGTATGATGATCCCCATTTGTGTGTCCTTAGAGACACGGTGCAGCACGGAGGTGCCAAGCAGGTTACCTTAGATGATAATGGAGTTTTGAGATTGCAGGGTCGAGTATGTGTGCCTAATGTGGATGGGCTCCGAGAGTTGATATTGGAGGAGGCCATAGCTCCCGGTACTCTATTCGTCCGGGCGCCGCGAAGTTGTATCAGGATTTGCGGCAGCATTATTGGTGGCGTAGAATGAAGAAGGATATTGTAGCATATATGGCTCGCTGTTTGAATTGTCAGCAGGTTAAGTACGAGCATCAGAGGCCTGGTGGCTTATTTCAGAGGATTGAGATTCCCGAGTGGAAGTGGGAGTGGATCACTATGGACTTTGTTACTGGGCTTCCGCAGACTCGGAAGAAGTTCGACGCAGTATGGGTCATTGTTGATAGGTTGACCAAGTCAGCGCATTTCATTCCTGTGGCAGTCTCCTACTGATCCGAGAGGTTAGCTGAGATCTATATTCGAGAGATTTTTTGCCTTTATGGTGTGCCCGCATCTATCATTTCAGACCGGGGTACGCAGTTTACCTCGCGCTTCTGGAGAGTAGTTCGACGAGAGTTGGGCACACGGGTTGAGTTGAGCACAGCATTTCATCCCCAGACGGACGGTCAGTCCGAGCGGACTATTCAGATTTTGGAGGATATGCTCCGAGCTTGTGTTATTATCTTTGGAGGTTCGTGGGACCAGTTTTTGCCCTTAGCAGAGTTTGCCTACAACAACGGTTACCAGTCGAGCATTCAGATGGCTCCTTATGAGGCTTTATATGGTAGGCGGTGTCGATCTCTGATTGGATGGTTTGAGCCGAGAGAGGTTCGGTTGTTGGGTACAGATCTGGTTCAGGAGGCCTTGGACAAGGTTAGGATCATTCAGGATAGGCTTCGTTCAGCTCAGTCCAAGCAAAAGAGCTATGCAGACCGCAAGGTTCGAGATGTGGCTTTTATGGTTGGTGAGCGGGTATTGCTCCGAGTATCGCCTATGAAGGGCGTGATGAGGTTTAGGAAGAAGGGCAAGCTTAGCCCTAGGTTCATCGGTCCGTTTGAGATTCTTGATCGAGTGGGAGAGGTGGCTTATAGACTTGCTTTGCCGCCGAGCTTATCATCCGTGCATCAGTGTTTCATGTGTCCATGCTTCGGAGGTATCACGGAGACCTAGCCCACGTGTTAGATTTCAGCACTGTCCAGTTGGACAAGGACTTGTTTTACGAGGAGGAGCCGGTAGCTATTCTAGACCGGCAGGTTTGTCAGTTGAGATCCAAGAGTTTCCCTTCTGTTTGTGTTCAGTGGAGAGGTCAGCCTCCTAAGGCATCGACCTGGGAGTCCGAGTCCGGCATGCGAAGCCGTTATCCTCATCTTTTCTCCGACTCAGGTACTTCCTTCTTCTGTCCGTTCGAGGACGAACAGTTGTTTTAGAGGTGGAGAATGTAATGACCCAAAGGGTCATCACCTGTTTTTAATTGAATTCTGTGTCTACGAGGTCTTGAAAACCTCATTTAGAGTTGCCTCGATTTACGTGCGCGGTCCGGGTGCGTAGCCGGAAAGCTTAAATATGAAATTTTGTGAAAAATGCTAAGTTTTGATGTTAAAATGAATAAATTTTACTTTGGTCAATATTTTGGGCAAACGGACCCGGACCCGTGATTTGGCAGTCCTGGAGGGTCCGTAGGAAAATATGGGACGTGGGCGTATGCTCGGAATCGAATTCTGAAGTCCCAAGCCCGAGAAATAAAATTTTTAGTAAAATTGTTTTTTGAATTTGTTTAAGGAAATTTGAAGTGAAAATTGATTAGAACGTGCTGGTATCGGGCTCGTATTTTGGTTCCGGCGCCCGGTACAGGTCTTATATATGGTTTAAGTCATTCCTGTGAAATTTGGTTGAAAACGGACGTCGTTTGACGTGATTCGGACCTAAATTGGAAAATTTGATGTTTTATGAAGTTTGAAAGAATTCTTGGACTTTGAGGTTTAATTCGATGTTTATGATGTTATTTTGGCGATTTGATCGCGCGAATAAGTTCGTATGATGTTTTTGAGTTAGTACGCATGTTTGGTTAGGAGCCCCGAGGGCTCGGGGGAGTTTCGGGTAAGTTTCGGAAGGTCTTAGGCTTAAAAACACAGATGTTGCAGGTTCAGAGCAATCTCAGTTCTCTGAACCCTCCAGCGCGGTCCGCGGTCGCCTTTGTGCGGTGCGCGGAGGAGGGGGGCCAGCGCGGTCCGCGGTCGCTTTTGAGCGGGCGCGGTGGGTGCTGTGCGGCCGCACTCCATTTTGTGCGGTCCGCACAGTGTCACAGGCCCTCAGGTTCTCAGGCCTGTGCGACCGCAGTCCATTTTGTGCGGTCCGCACAGGGGGTCCGACAAGGGTATAAATAGACGAGATTCTCAGCTATTTTTCATTTTTCAAAACCCTAAAAACATAAGAGGCGATATTTCAAACAATCTTTCTTATCCAAATCAATTGTAAGTTAGTTCTTACTCATTTCTTTCAATCATTAACATCTTTTAACATGATTGCAACCTAAAATCAAAGATTTTCATGGGGGAAATTGGGTGTTTTGGGTAGAACCTAGATTTTTTCAAAAATTGGGGATTTGGACCTCAATTTGAGGTCCGATTTCAAAACAAATTATATATTTGAGTTCGTGGGGGAATGGGTAATTGGGTTTTGGTTCGAACCTCGGGTTTTGACCACATGGGCCCGAGGGCAATTTTTGACTTTTTGGGTAAAACCTTGGAAAACTCATTTTCATGCATTGGGGTTGATTTATTTAGCGTTTATTGATGTAATTAAGTAATTTGTGATTAGATACGAGAAAATTGGCGGTGGAATCAAGGGGTAAAGCTATAATTGAGACTTGAGTTGTGTTCAAGGCATCCAGGTAAGTGTTTGGTCTAACCCTAGCTTGAGGGATTAGGAGTTGAGTCACATTTGCTATATGTTTCTTGTGGAGTACGACGTATAGCCATGGTGACGAGTATCTATACGTCGGTGTCAAGCATGACCGTGAGTCTTAAATTGATATTTGTTGTATTCTTAAATAATACTATGGTTGCAATGGTGAGTAGATCCGTGGTATTGAGCAAAGGCTTAGCTTATTTTCGTAGAAGTTATTTATGAGTTAGAAATGGTGGTAATGGAGATGATTAGAAGTTGAATTGAGATTGGTTATAGCTGGTTCTCCCTTGCCAGGACAAATATACTTGTACTGTTGAGTTCCCTTGCCGGGATAGAGTATTTTATGGTTAATTCCTTGCCGAAATTTTTGTTATGATTACTGTAAGTTGCATACTTGGAACGGGTTGCGCGCCGCAACATTTTTATTAATGTATACATATATGGATCG